AGAAGATATTTTGAAGAATGTGGGTAACCAAACAGTTGCTGGTCCCCACTGACTTTGATAGTAGGAAAAAGAAATATGAAAGTCACTGGGGACCAGTAACTGTTTGGTTTCCCATATTCTTCAAAATAACTTTTATGTTCAACAGAAGAAAGAAACTCATTCAGGTTTAAAACAACTTGAGAGTGAGTAAATGACCATTTTCATTATTGGATGAACTATTCCTTTAATGTTAATAAAATAAAACAAAGAGAAAAATAACTTGGTGCTCTTGACTAAAAAACTTGAATACAGTTGCTAAAATTCAGCAGTAATAAAATAACTTGAAATTTTCAAAAAAATTTCACATCATATCTTTTTACACTAAATAGTATCGATAACAGTATCGATAAGTAGCGGTATCGCTGAGCAGTATCAGTATCGGTATCGTATCGTATCGATAAAATGTAAACGATACCCATCCCTAGTTGTCACTATACCATAAACATGTTATGATACTATACCAGCTGAAGTATCACGATACTGTGCAATATTAATTTAATTTATAATTCACGATCTGCAATGGATTGTTTTTTTTTTCCTTTTTTGGCCCATCTCTGTTCCGGATATGCACAAACTGCATTGCAATAATTTCTCAAAATGTCATGTCTGTAATGAACACAGGTCAGAGACGGGCAGGCTTGGGGAGTAACGGAATACATGTAACGGCGTTACGTAATCAGGATACAAAAATCTAGTAACTGTAATCCGTTACAGTTGCATCAAAAAACAAAGTATTCAGATTACAGTCACATTTTGTAAAAGGGGGAATACTATCAGGATTATATTTGTTTCATTTAAAATTAAATAAGCGAGTATTTTGACAATGCTATATATTTAGCGCTGCATAGTTCCTGGTTCTGTTGACACATGTTGACTCACGTGAGCCGCCTGCTGGTGCGTGCGCAAATAACACCCGTCTACAATTATTATTCTCAAACGTGGGATGACTGAGACGCTGTTACAGTAATTAATTACGATGCTTCCTGTTGTGAAAAACGTTTTCATGTCTGGAAATTTCACAGTTATTTTGTTTTCAAAGAGGATAAAGGAAATAACAGTTGTACAGCGTAAGCTATGCATGAAGACTCTTGCTTTAACAAAGGCCAACTTGAACATTTGCAGCTACGAGTCCGACTAGCATGAAAATCATCATGTTAGCTCAAATTTAGTGTTTGTTAGTGATTTAAAAGTCCATGGTGTGCATGACTGCACTGCAGTTGTAAGTTTTCTAGCGGAAAATGAGCCTGAAAATGTAGAACCCACACCCCGGATCATTCAATGAAATAAAGAAAGATCATAGCATTTCACATGCATTTCGACATGTAGGTTTATTTTAAAATAGACTAAGACTAATATGTATATGGTGTACATTTTTTTTAATGTTGTGTATAAACTATATTTATTTTTACTTGTACATGTTAAAGAAATAATAATAAAAAATCAAAATAAAAAATAAATAAATACTAAACTGTATAGCCACTTGATGTCTGCATAGCCTTTTATATAAATATACGGGCTGTAATATCTAGATGGTGAAACAAGACACGATTTTTTATAGTTTCAAATAGTTTTTACTATAGTTTTAATTAGTTTTAATTTTAAAGTCATAGTTAAATAAAAGTACTTAGATATTGCTTTTTTGACTTATTTACATATGTAACTAAGTAATCCAAAAGTAATCAGATTACATTACTTTTATATTGTGGTACTTGGATTAAGTTACTGAATACTTTTTTAATGAAGTAATTTGTAACTGTAACGGAATACATTTTAAAAGTAACCCTCCCAACCCTGGAGACGGGACATGCTGGAGAGGGACGTATAGAGGAGAGGATAGATTAGGCATGCAGCAGAAAAACTTCAAAAAACAATGCAAAAGCAGAATTAAAAAAGCATACAAAAGCAGCATAGTTCATATAACTCATGCTCTATATTTGAAGTCTCCTGAAGCCAAATACAACAGATTATAGAATCAGTAGAGATTCAATCAGTTAGATTTGTGAATGAATCATTCAAACCAATTTTGTTAACTATATAGAATTATTTATTTATAAAATTAGATTCAAAAGAGCAATTCATTCACAAACGAATCAGATACTGTTTACTTTCCGAATGAACATGCAGAGTTATAAGGTGGATATTCAGATTTCCAGTGAATAACGACTTAAATTTCAGTCTGTTTGTCACACGAAACTATCATATGGCTTCAAAATTAGTGCATGAGTTCATTTCTACAATACTTTTTGTAATTTTGGATCTTGATATTCTTTAAATACACCTCTTTGGTTCCACAGAAGAATGCAAAAACATAATGGGTGAGTAAATTATAACAGAAATTAACATTTTGGGAGAACTATTCTTTTAAGCAAAGCGAAAGAACGGAAAATGAACATGTTGCAGGTCAGACTCAAACCTGCTTTACCTGCATGAGCACCACAGGCTCAACATGCCAACTGCTGTGTTACAGCTCTGACCAGACCATTACTTTATAAAGTTCACCCCATTCAACTACAAACTCGGTGCTTCTTGTAGTTGGGCAGATCTTCATTGGTATAACCTGAAAATGGGTGCTGGATCACAGTACCTCTCATGCAGTCCTCTATCCTGTGCACCAGCTGGTAGGATTTGCAGCGGTCCAGTAGAGTTCGGATGGCTGGAAGTGGGTCAAGAATGATGGTCTCTGGGTGAGCATCAATATAATCCTGCAAGACCAGTGGAACAGGTCACAGCAAGGAAGGTGTACAGGTGACAGTAGTCAATAACGTGACTAACTGAAATCTTTGAACATTACTTACTGGTGTTGTTAAAGGCAGTTATCTAACATGTATAAACTGGAATGCATGAATGAACTCACCACACATACAAAGACATGTACACATGAAGCCCGTTACACTGCTGTTATGTAAATTAATTTTTGCATTCTTGCATTCAGTTGGCATGACATAACCACTCGCTGTCTTTCTCTCCACTGCCCCCATTCACTCCAGTCATATGATAACATTTGACAGAATATGAGGAAATGCATTCTTTTCTCATGTGTTTTACCAGTTCCATCAGTCATTAACTGTCAATGATGGGAAATTTAGTTGCTAATCCAAGTGTACTGATTGTTAGATCAAATCAACTCACACATCAGAATGTGTGAAGACACACATTCTACCAGCTCTGATTAAATGGGCAAAAAAGGTTACAGCAAAAAAACAAAAAAGATCTCCAGTTTTCATAGGGTTTAAAAGTGAATATTATTTCAGTGTTCAGATCATTCTGTGTCTTATGTAATCTATGTAATATACATTAAGCGCATGCTTAGTGAGAGCGTGGTGTTAGGAGAGAGCTTTGTTTAAGAACATTAAGAGGCTCAATGCTCTTACGTTCTCATTTAGAGGTGAGTACCTGAGGTGACATTTCAGAAGACGACAAAACAAAAACAAAGTTGTAGGATGGGAAACTGAATTTAAGTAGAAAGGTCTTTTGTGAAATATTATCATAGTATATAATAACATTATATATATATCAACATATACACACTTGCAACGAGTCAAAAGTTTGGAATAACTATAATTAAGGTTTTTTTTTTTTTTTCCCTTTTTGAAAGAAATCTTTTCCCAAAGGCTGCATTTATTTGATCAAAAATACAAAAAAAAAAACAGTAATATTGTACTATTGTACTAAACATTACAATTTAAAATAACTGTTTTCTATTTAAATATAGTTCAATTATAATTTATTCCGGTGATGCAATGCTGAATTTTCATCAGCCATTACTCCAGTCTTCAGTGTCACACGATCCTTCAGAAATCATTCTAATATGCAGAATTATTAACAATGTTGAAAACTGTTGCGCTGCTTAGTATTTTTTTTTGGAACCTATGATACCTTTTTCAGGATTCTTTGATGAATAAAAAGTTCAAAAGAACAGCATTTATTCAAAGTAGAAATATTATATTATATTATATTATATTATATTGTGTAATTTTTTTATTTCAGAAGTCATGGAACTGAACTGTAGGAAACGAATATATACATAAATAAATTATAATACAATATGTAAAGGATTAAAAAAATTATATTACATTGTGTCAGTATATTACTGCACCAACACATCCCTATAAATTGAGGTTGAACCCCTAAAACTAGATATAAAAGAAAAACTGCATGTAGTCTCTTTCAAAAAATAAAAATGAGACCGAAACTTTATGCACTATTAAAAATGCAAAACCTTTCTCATAATGATCAATACTCTGTAATTACTGCTTTTAATTTCCTTTCACTAACAAGTGAATGACAAAGAGATCACATTTAGGTAAAAAAAAAAAAAAAAAAAAAAGATTCTGAGTCTGAA